TGCCCTACTGACCCAAGCCCACTGAAACAAACAACTTCAATGGTAAGAGCAACGCCACCAAAAAACAATGAACTTTTGATTTGGCTCATATTACCTTTTAAACTTTGCATGCTTTCTTTTTCTTTAAATCTAAATCATAAACATTATAGGAGAATTTTCCAATACCCCCAAATCTTATTTGTGATACATCTTGTTTTCTTTTCCAGAAGTACTATTTAAACTAACAGGTCACTTATGTGTATTCACTTATACATAAGAATTTAATTATATTAATAATCCATTACCTTAGGTAACTCATAGACCACAAAAATGGCATTTACTAGACAAGTGTTTGTCTGCACTGTTACTTACTGCTATGTAAGGAAGGGGTGGGGGTGGGGGTGCGGTGAGGTGAAGGTGATTTTCTGAGTTTTCAACTTAAAAGTGCTTTTAGTTTTAATACCTGCTTGGAGCTCCCATTGTCATGCAAGAAATAAAATCTACCTCTGCTTATAATCTTCGCTTGGTCCAAGACCTATTGTCTAGATAATTTTTTCGTAAATAATTTTTCTAATCCTAGCTAGCACTTAGTATTTAACTTAGAGACATTTTTCTTCAGCATATTTTTCAGGCCTTACAAACCCAGGCTCACTCACTGTAGGTGGTTTTTCTCGAGTTTCTTTAAATAGCCTCCTCCATGGGAGAATGAAACACCTTATTTGCACTTGCTTTTCTGCATGTGTGTACATTTAGGTAGGAGTACAAATATCCGTGTGTGTGTGTGTGTGTGTCTGTGTGTGTGTGTGTGTGTGCGCGTGCGTGATTATTTCCTTCAGTGTATGTTTGTGGTTCCTTGGATTTAAATAAGGAGAAATGCATTGTCTTCTAGTAAAACCCAATATAGGTATGCATTTCAGAAGGTGTATAATGCTAAATCAATTTGGTATAAAAGTACCTTTTTTGTATCATTGTAAATTCTAAGAAGAGAGAAGTCTAAGGCAAGATGAGACAAGGCATTAGAGGACATAGGATGGTGGTATGCACCCTCATCCAAACTCCTATTCATTTAAAACCTATACAAAGTCTGATACAGATGGGCCACGAAACCCCTGCATTTTCTGCAGAAGTGTTAACATGTCACAGAGTCAAATCAGGAGAAAGGTCTATTTCCAGTTACCAGATCTCTCCACACAGTTGGGGCTAATCAGGCCCAAGACCTTCTCTTGACACCTGGTAGGAGAGATGGGGAGAGCTCTGCTCTACACGCAGGATCATTCACCCTTAGAGCCGGCCCAGGCTAAATCTTCTGTCCCTATTGTAAACAATGTCCTTCTGCCTAGCTCAAAGATCCAGCCTTTACCTTGTACCTGGCTCTGGGTTCCTATGCCTGAGTTTCCCCTGAGCTGCCCATCTCTTATGCTTTTCAGTCTACCTTTCTCCCAGAAGCTGCAACCCTTCTACCTGTTACTATGCTCTAGGTGCCACATGCCCACTTGCTCTTTCAGTCCTAGAGCCATGCTCCTAAAAATTCATAGGATGCCCCCAAACCTTATAAGTCCTTCACACCTTACATAAAACCTTTCATATTAGTGGTTTCACTGGGCTGTGCTAATTGATAAGCCATGCTCTCTGGATGCTATGGTTTGCCTAATGGACTAGCCATCTTTCTGGTACCTGTAGTCAGGTCCACCCTTTGAATGACTGAGTCACTCTGGACTCAGGTGTCTGCTTTGTCTGCATTGATTTGTCACAGTCACCTCAACCACACCAAATAACCTCATTAGGTAGGATGCGTTTTCAGTTTTTGCTATGGGCAGTTGAATTACCCTTTCCTCTTTTTTCATTTATGGTCATATGACTGAATAAATGATAGGCTAATTGAACACCAATACAGCTGTTGCCATAGATACTTGATTTTGATATTAATAAATTAAGTGATAGTGCTTCCTAAAGACAATTTGATGCAATAGATTTCTAACTTCTTGGTCTATGGATATATACTGGTTATTTCTCTTCTAAACACAATTATTGATTTATATTGTTTTAAAGAGTGGTAGTATCTAACATGGAATACATATATGCAGCATTTACACAAAAAGAATGACATTGGGTATATTTGGAGTTTTTAACACAATTTTGATTTTTTTACATTTCATTATTTTTATCAACATATAAAACTAAACATGGTTTGATTTATGTATCATTGTAAAACTTATCTTAAAATGTAAATTAGAAAAATAATCTTTTTTTTCAAGATATGTTAGACCAACAACCTGCATCATGGAAACTGGAGTAACTAATTATAGATTTAATCATTCCCCCCATCGCGCGCACACACACACACCTAGGCCTCTTAAAATGTCACCTTCTCCAGCTATCTTCCATCCCTAACATTTTTCTGCAAGAACTCTATGGTCGAGGAAATGTTTATTCCCTTAGAGCTGAGCTTTCCAACCTTGACACTGTTCAACATTTTGGGCCAATAATGCTTTGTGGTCGGGGGCTGCCCTGTGCACTGTAAGATGTTCAGCAGAATCCCTGGCCTTGACCCACTAAAGGCGGTAGCACCCACCTCAGCTGTGACAACCAAAAATGTGTCCAAACGTCGCCAAATGTCACTGGGGGCAGGGGCAAATTATCCCCAATTGAAAACTACTGCCTTATAGCATTTAAGGTCCCTTAATAAATCATCGATGATGATGATGATGGTGATGGTGATGGTGATGATGGTGATGATGGTGATGGTGATGATGATGATGGAGACGCATTATCCCACAGGATTTGAACCTGGGCCTTTTGATACTCTAAAGGACCCCAGCTATATATTAGCCTTTGTTCTTGTCTCCCACTGAGCTTTTGGATAATATGCCCAGGATTGCTCTCCATGCCTTCTTTTGCTAGTTCAACCCCCATGAATGACTCATTTAAAAATGTTCCAGATACTTGGGAGTCTTGCAATTTGGAAAAAAAAAATTAATGTAATCAATTATTTTGTATTTCATGTAATCATTTTCTGTGTCTATATTACATTTATGGCGCTTTCTCTATGTTGAAGGACCATATAGTAATTTGTCTTATCTTTCACATAATCATTTTCTTATGTTTCTATTATACTCATATAAATTTAGATATTTTAAAGTTGGACACATCTTTGTTTGGAGTGTACTAAAAATCTGGTGTCAGCTAAACTTAAATTTGAATCTGGACTTACCACTTAGTAGTTGGGGTATCTTGGGAAAATTATTTGAACTCTCTCAGTTCTAGTTTTCTTACCTGTAAAAGCGGGAGGACTTGGCGTGTATTAGGGACTCAATAAATACTGAAGGAATTAAAAGAATGGGAAAGTAATTTGACAGGCACCAAACAGTAGGCACTCCATGAATTATAGTTGCCCTCCACTCGCCTTTGAACAGCTGTGGTCCTACATTATCTATGACATTTTTTTTTTCACTCTCTGCACATGCAGTTTCATGTGTGATACTCTTAGTTTTTTTAATCAGTGGCTAACCTTGACAGCCTAGATTGGCTCTCACCTTGAGAATTGCTGAAGATGGGGCACTGGAAGGACTCATTAAATGCCTGTTGATTTACCAGGGGCTGAACAGGAATGGGGGCCATTCAGCTCTCAGTAACCCTAATTCCGTTTTTAGAAAAGCTTAGCAAAGGTAGACCAAAAGTCCCTTTATTTGATATGAGATGCTCTAGATTTAAGACCTGAACAATATTAAAATAGTAACAAAAATTGACAATAAGGTAACTAGCACACCATAGCACTGCCTACGGCTCTCTACGGACTGGGCACTGTGGCAGGTGAGTGTGCAGAGTTCTTTATAAGCTTTCTCTCATTTAATCCTAAAACAATTCTGTTTCAGTGGCACAAATGGTCTCCCCATTTGTATGGGTCTCCCCATACAAAACAGGATCTAGGCACAGGGAGACTAAGTGGCTTGTGCAAGATTACATAGCTAAGTAAATTTAAGACAGAATTGTTCAGCTAGACTGAACTGAGATGAGGTTCAGATGCATTAATGTTTGCAGTCTTACATATGAGTGTATTCTATATCCCTCTGTAAAATGGGCTTAATAATAAAATTTGCCTTCCTTCCTTCACAAGGTGATTGGAGGTATCACATGAGAAGAAATTTGTGAGAAAATATCATAAACAATAAAGCACTGTACAAATATTACTCCTGATACACAATGAAAAGGGATGCTCTGAGAGCTCCCATTTGGAACAGGAAGACCAAACACCATACCTGAGGTGTTTGCTGTTGCTGTACCTGCCTCCCCATCTTTGCAGAGTTCATACTTACGGAACACAGCTCCCTCACTGCTGTGTCCTGCAGGACTTTCAAAGTCTTCCTGAACTGGGCTTCCGGATGGCTCTGTGAGAAGGGGCAATGCCTGCAGGCCAAGTGGCAGTGGGGTTGGTGATGATAGCAGACGCAGCAGCGGGCAGGCACAGCATGGCAGGTGCCCATTGGGGGGACACTGGGGAAGCCTGTGTCTAGAGAGACAGACCTGGTGAGGGGCTGGGACCTGGGCTCACATATGCAAGTCTGAACAGAAACGTCATTGAGCTGTCTTGCTTCTGTCCCCAGTCCTGGCTCTGTTGTGGTAACAGGGTCACACACAGTGCATTCTAAAATTGTTCTTCTACAGTCAGTTCCCAAGGCCACTGCATTCTGAGCAGCCAGCGCCAGACTGGAGGACATCTGGATTTGCACAGACTTGGAACTAACAGAGTTTGAGTCAGCATTTGGAGGAAGATTTCCCATCTCAGATTCTGCCCCAGATGGCATTTGACCTGAAACATTATACTTTGGATTCATTTGGGGCGTAGGACCTCCAGACAGCTCATCTAGGTGGGGAATGAACTTTTCAGGGGTTTGAATAAGGTCAACTGTACAGGGCATGACTTCGCGGGACTTGTGGACATGCTGTGGTGGACTTTCTCGGGTCAGTAAGCTGTGGTTGATGTCAGAACAGAGTTCACTGCTTTCCGCTCCTCTTGGGGCCTCAGAGTCAACATGAAGAAACTTGTTTTGAGTGTGATCAGTTCCAGGTGACCATTGAGGCTCACAGTGGTGGCTTTGCACATACACTGCACCAACTCCCTCAGGCCTCAGAAACCCATCTTTCACTTCTGTGATGTGTGTCACCATAAACCCGAGAGGACAGTCACCTTTGGAGGAAATCATATCTACATTGGCCCCGTGTTCAGTTTGGGGCATGGGCGGGTGCTGCCTCAGATGGACGGCTGCCCTTGGGTGTTCTCGCCCCATGGGGGCCTTGTCAAGGGTCACATCCGGGGTCAACAGTTCTGGTGTCCTCTCCACCACCTCACACTGAGATGCTTTCTCTACCACACACGTAGAGGCCTTTGCTTCCAAGGCACTCCACTCTTGACTTGAGAAAGATGTGCTCACAATACTCTTGGAATCAAACTCATCTGACTCTTGCCGGCAGTCCTGGGATGACACGAAACACTGGCTCTGGTCCACTGGCTTTCTACCTCCATTCTCAGCAGGACCCTGGCTGCCTGGTAAGAAAGGCATCTGTGGAAGAAACCAGGATGGAGGCAAATGGGTCAGGAAGGTGGGGAAGGCACTAAGTTTAAGAACTGTGGTTTGTTTGTTTTTTCCTTATCATTACCATCGACTTAGGAGTCAGGAGATAAGGGTTACAAACTCACGTTTACGTCAGTTTACTACTTTAGCTGGGACCCTCTTTCTGTGAGGCTCAGCTTCTCTGTTTAGTAAAAGCAAAGGAGATAGAAGGGAAAGGAACGCTGGGCTTTATGGCACCTTGTCCAGGGTGACTCCACTGTCCCCCGTTCCTTGGGTGCCTGTGTGGCATGTGTTTTCTAAGCCCTGGTTGCCCTTTCCAATGGTGGCAGCGAGCTTTAAACTCCTATTTCCTTCTGTTCCTTTTCCAACACGTAAGTGCCCTTCTACCTGCAGGGGTGGAGGTTCTGGTGGCTCCTCCAGGAACCCGCTGCTGTCAGACTGGCAGCTGTTTGCTCTGATCACTGTGGCACCTGCGGAAAGAAATAAAGAGGCCTGTGGTGGGGAAAGTGAATGCAGGCTGACAGCAAGCCTGGGCACCAACGCGCTCTGTGTCTGACGTGCTGTAGACCCTCCATAAATGCCCACGGCGTGGAAACACAAATGCATGAGGGAAGTCTGAGAACTTTTTTCTCAGTTGTCAGAGGGTCCATGTAAAACTGTGTCACTGGTTTCCTGATACAAGGAGGAAAACATGAAACAAAGGAAGAGGAACTAAATAGCAATATGATTTTGAGATGCATCTTTGCTAAGGAGTAGAAAATTCAAAAGAAAGTGCATATGCCTTGAATGTCACCTAACAGAACAACAAAGACCAAAATTTATAGATCTGTTTGTATATGTAATGCAATAAACTGAATATTTGTGTCCCCACCCCCCTCCTGAATTCATATATTGAAATTCTAATCCTCAAAGTGATAGTATTAGGAGGTGGGGTTTTTGGGGGGTTATCTGGTAATGAGGTTGGAGCTCCTATTAATGAGATCAGTGCCCTTATAAAAGAGACCCTGGAGAGCTCCCCTGTCCCTTCCATCATGTGAGGACACAGCAAGAGGCTGACCATTTACGAACCAGGAAGTGGGTCCTCTCCAGACAGCGAATCTGCTTGCACCTTGATCTTGGTCTTCTAGACTCCAAAATTGTGAGAAATAAATATATATTGTTTATAAGCCACCCAGTCCATGGTATTCTGTTACAGCAGCACAAATGGACTAAGACATATATATTCTTTTTCTTTTCCCTAAATGTAGGGTAAGAATCCCTTACTGACCACATCTGGACTCTATTTCGATGACTACAAATCCGTGCTCACATTTGAGATTGCTGCTCTTATCATTTTGAGACACTGGAAGGAGCAGAGAAAGAACAATGTTATCTGTGGGCAGGTCATGACCCTGTAAACATGAGCATCTTGAAATTCTAAATCTGCCTGTAACTTCTTACATAAATGTTAGGTGATATTGATGGGGCTGGGGGAAATGGGTGGCTACCAGAACTCAGTGTGTTAAAGATTAAATTGTAGGATTTTTTTCCCCCTCTTCTTTAAGGAGAAATGCTTCCAGTTACACTCTAGTATAAGCTAGAATAGGAAGTCTCCTGGGTGGAGGGTGGTTGGAATGTAGATTCCTTATCATACAAGAAGCAGAAGGAGGAGCCATATTTGTTCTGGAAGAAAAGACTGGGCATGGGTGTGAGGAGTGGGTTGAAAGGAAAAAGCTGACTGCTGGTGCACGTAAATGCTTGGCTATCTGGTACCTATGTGAGAAATAGGGAATTTACTTTTGCTTGAAGAACTAGCTGCTGCAGAAGAGTTAGAAGGAGAAAAAGAAAGAAAGAAATAGTCCAGCCTCTGCTTAGGTGTTCTAGACCCATCCTTCAAGGACAGCTGCACTAACAAGGGCAGCAGCAGCTCATCTCCTTGTAGGACTACCTTCCCCCAGCCTTAACTGCCCACGTATCTGAGCAAAGACAGCTGGAAGGGACACAGTCCACAGGTGGTCCACCCAGCCCAAATCCCAGCTACCTCACCCTGAGGTCAACGTAAAAAGAAAGGAACTTAGCTTTGTAGAATTGAAATTTATAAGCTTCATATTCATTCATTCTCTTCAAATAAAATGAAAGGCTAAAACTCAGATGATGTAGGTTTTTAATAGCTGACTCTTAGAAAGATGAGGAGATTTGAGCAAAGTTTTGAGGAAACAATGTCTGTTACTTCTTGTTACATAGTTAAGGGTAAAATATGGAAAATATTTACTCATAGATCTATTGTAGGTAAGACTTCTGCTTCTGGAAAACTAGAGTAATAGAAACTAGATTTTCCTTTTCATCTGACACAATGAAAAACCTGGAAAATATGAAAATATGCTTTCAAGAAAATGGACATCACGTGATTAAAGATAGCAGGCCCTGAGAGGCAGGGGCAAATAATGTGAGTCCAACATTTACTCAGCTTCCTGCCTTGAGAGAGTTTACAAGCCATGGGAGAGGGAAGGTAAACCCAGGCAGAAGCCTGCAGACTCCCCAAGTTGAGACAGAACTAAGAATCTTGAAAAACTGAGCCAGTTAGAGTTCACAGAGTGCAGTGGGAGAAAAGAGAGCACTGTACACAGAGAGAACTCCAGATGGTCCCTCTTGAGTATCCATCTGAATACTGATCAGCTCGTGCATGTGAGAAAACACCAAAGACTGAGGAAAGGAGCATTGGAAAGGATGAGAAGACTCATTGCCCAATACTCATCCAGGCCTGGAGTAATGCATGCTTCCAGCAGCCAGGTCCCAAAACCCTCCCAGAGCACTGGCAGGATAAAGCACTCAGAAGGGTCTTGCCTCAGGAGTGAGGAATAATTAGCTCTAGAATGAGCTTTGTTCCCACCTAACAAATCATAAAAGCAAGACCTGAAAGGATCAAACTGTTTCCAAGTAACTCAACTGTGTCCCAGACCTAAACTCAAGAAAATTTATAGGAATGTAGTGATATCTAGCACCCACAAGGTAAAATTCACAATATCTGGCATCTAATAAAAAAATACCAAGCATGCAATGAAGCAGAAAAATATGACCCATAGCGAGAAGAAAAATCAACCAGCCAACCTAAAACCAACCCAAAACTGACAGAGATGTTAGAATTAGGAAGTAAGAACACACTTGGTATGACTATAGTCATATGTTCAAGAGGCTAGAAGAAAGATTAAATATGTTAAGTGGAAGCTGCAAGATATTAAAATACACCCAAATTGAAATTCTAGAGATGAAAACTATAATGTCTCAGGTAAAATTTATACTGGAGGGGATTAACAGTGTTTTAGAGATTGCAGAAGTAAAGAATAGTGAAATTGTAGACGTAGCCATAAAAATGACCCCAAATTAAAGACATAAATAAAAAAGTAAAAAATTAGAAAATCAAAACAACATCGGTGGGCCATGGGACCACTCTAAGTAGTCGAATTTATAGGTCATTGGAATATCCCAGAATTGTAGAGGGAGCACTGGATGAAACGTTTCAAACGGAAGTTTATTTTAAGAAGTTCAACAAACCCTAAGCATAAGAAATATGAAGACAACTATAACAAGGCACATCAAAATTGTCCAACACAATTATAAAGAGAGAAATCTTAAAATAAGCCAGAGAATAAAGACACATTATACACAGAGAAAACAAAGATAAGGAAGGCAGCATATTTTACATTGGAAATAATCCAAGCAATACAATGGAGTAACATCTTCAAAGTACTAAAAGGGAAAAGCAAAGTATCCATAAGTTTCAAAGATTTATTATCTAAATCTTTTAAAAGATAATTGACTCTTTAAACAAAAAATAATAATAATGTGGTGCAGGGTTTATAACATATACCTAGAAGTCTAAAATAAATTAAACACCTGTTATACACCTGATTGATTCATATGGAAGGAATGGACCGTGACACTTTCCTTTAACTAAGATACACAATTCTTATAGAGTCTTTAACCTGGGTAACAGAATACTTGCTTACTTGTCAATAGAAATAACGTACACTCATTGTGTATTTGATATAGGACATTGTATAATATTTAACTTGTATAATGACATACAATATAGTATAATATTTAACAATACCTTGTTCTTGTTATAATTAATTCAGCCTATATTAAAACTCTTCAGATCCTTTTTGAGTTAGAAAAAAAGATCACATTTTCCTCCATATATCAACTACAGGTACAAAATAAACGGTGATTATGGCAGAAGATTTTCAAAAGCTCAGTGCAGAATTTAAAATACAGAAGGTGCCAAAAAAGTATATACACATTTTAAGAAAGAAAAAAAGCTGTATTAATATTATTACACTGATGGTAACTGTTTTGAGCATCTCTTGTAATTGCAGAAGTCAAATGTGACTTGTATTCATCTTTTGTTATCGGTATTTATTGAGTATTACAATTTTAATAGATTTTTTTCCCTTTTTAAAAATGTGTATACTTTTTTTGGCACCCTCTGTATTTTTTTCAGTACTATCCAAAGTGGCCAGAGCCCCTTTAGCCGGAGCCCCTTCAGTGAATAGCCCTACAGAATGGGCATCCACTCCTCAAGAATTTTCCACACAAACCTCCTGTTCTAAGCTCCCCTTATGTACTTCAGGACCCACCACGGTCTGTTTCTACTCAGCCCCCAGAGCCCCTCTGCTGTGGACAAGGCGTGCAGATAGGAGACAGCAAGGGAGCACTGGCTCCCAGCCCTCACTCTCCATCCCTACACTATAAACACTAGAGGACCCAAAGATATCCAACAGGTGGGTTGAACCTTGCTGAAGGATGGACAAAGCAGACTTTGGAACCTCTTGCTCTTTCTATATGTTTGGCTGCAAAATTTGCGCCACAAGCTGTGAAGGGATCCTGGTACATCATTATTCTTTAAACTTTCCAGATAATTACTAGTCTAGAATATCAGCTTCATGTAAAGTGCTTGCTATTCCTTCTTACAACTCTAGGATGAAATTATATGTTAGAGCACCAAAACAAAATTATATGTTGGAGCCCATTTGTCCAACTCAATCAGGTCCAAATGCAAATAAGCAATAGAAAATATACAAGGGTCTCTAAAAGGCAGAAAGAGTAATTTCATCTAAAGGAGGTATATTTATAACTGTTACCTTTAGTTAACTGTATTTGTGTAAAGCACAAAAACAGAAACAAATACACAAAAATAAGCTCTGGAACTCATTTAAGTGAATTTGTGAAACAACCAGATTTTGACAACCTCTCTTAGATAATGAAATCAAATAGTGGAATTGGACATAGTCTATCAGGAGTAGAGACTTATTTAGCACATATTTTAAAGTCAAATACATTTATCTGAATCCTTTTTGGGAGCGTCACCAAGCAAAATGTGGGCCAATGTACCGATAGTTTGGTTTAGCTTCTTCAAGAGGCTAAAAATCTTACTTGCCTAAAAACCCACCTTTTCAGCAACTAGATGATAAACATCTTAAAATTGGCCTTG